GTCTGTGCTTGAGAATTACAACAAACTTGCGTCACGAGAACATAGCTAAACGTTCAATCAGGAAAGGTCGCACACCGATCTATTGGCTTCACAAAGCAAACAAGCTCCGTATGTGTGGCAAAGGTCACAAACAGGCAACCAATTACCAGGCCGAAGTCGGCCAAGTCATAATAGCAGCGAGGAGGGACGACAGAGAATGCGGGTAGATTGATACAGTACTGTTTCGGACTTATTCTGCCTTCATTCAGTCAATCAGAACCCTGACCAGTAGGTGGGACCAGAAACACAAACATGCGCGCAGATGCACCTGGCGCAGTTGGTCCACCACAGTTCTGTATCAATCTACCCGCATTCTCTGTCGTCCCTCCTCGCTGATAGCTTAACGTGTCATCGGACAACGCCAAAAATCGAGATAACACTCATCTACTCACGTGGGGAAGGGGAGTAAGATTCGCATAACCACCATGGTTGTTGAATAGAATGCGGCCGCCCTCTTTTGTTGTAAAGCTCCGTTAAAAGTTCTCATAGAGCTATAGATGGTCCCATGACCATTACCGACAAGGAAAAGAGGCGGGAACGGTTCTTTCGTCAACACTGGCCATCTATCCACCAAAACTAGGTCGAGAGTTGGAGTCCGACCTTCCTATTGAGCCAACAGCGTCACTGGTAGCTCGACCTCATGCGACCGCCAGTGTAGGTTATTAACCGGAGCATTGAGATGAAACACGGCACCCGCGTTTCGTCCTGCAAACAGCAGGCTGATCGACGATGCAGGTAATGCTCTAGAATGCTAAATGGCTAAATCGAAACTCTGCGCAAAACGTGCATCCAGACTGCTTCTGTGTGTCGACACACGTAACGGCTTGATAAACAAGCCAGCCAGTCGGATGACCTCATGCACAATACTAGTCTACAGGCTGTTGTAAGCCTTCCCGAGAGAGCAGAAGAATGTGGTACTTCGACAAGCATTTCACCTAAAACCACCTTTTCATATTTGCCTTAAACGGCGTTGGCTTAGCCTCAGAAATTGCTAGACTTCCTAAGTCTTTCTTATGCAATACCGACGTAGGTATATGCGCAACAAGATTTTTGATGCAATTTTCCTTGTCTGTGAAATGAATGAGTGTGCTCGTCTTCACTGTTGTTCTGGAAACTATGTGTAATATACTTTATATTTTGAATATGCCAGTCACTCACTGAAATTTCGAAGTCAAATACTTTCACCAGAAGGTATGTACCTTCACATATTTTGCGGACATTTATGGTGTGAAAGCGAGCCATGAATGCAGCTTACTTTTACAAAATTGCAAATGTATTATTATGAAGTTACCTCCTGTTAAAAATGGGGGTGTATATAATGAGACTGTTGGCTAAATCCTACAGTAGGTGGGCTAACTCGTGAAATGTCAACCGAAATTCCGAAATGCATTTTCGTTTTCCAATCTTATACTCGAAGGAAATGTACAATTCGGTTTTCAAAAACTTTTCCAATTCCCGAATAATTTTGAACCCGCTCTACCGCTGCACTTAGATTCAGAGTTTCCAAACCACAAGCCACGTATTTTCCGCTTACGGAAAACCACACATTTCTCTACGGTAATAAAAGGGGACCATATACGGCTCACAAAATTTAGCAGTGGATTGGATCCATATTGTTAACTTTACAAACCACATTGGTAAATGCGGAGACATGACGACTTATGAATGGCCATTTCACGGTATTTAAAAGTCTCATCAATAGAAACCTTGTTAAAACCATATTATGTCCCACCTTCGAGTACAAAATTAGAAAAAGACGTAGGTTTCTACCGAATGCGCAAGCGAACGAATACTTTTCTGCATGTTTTCCATGAAATATAATTGGAAATTTAAGGGCATCGAAAATCAATGAAAAAAACTCATGCTGCATAAGTAGTCACTTTTTAGAGAGTGTAGTTTTTGCATGCAGTCGGAAGGAAGTTCGTTCGAAAGACGACATCCTGGCGTAACTGAAATATTACAGAATTATGTCGCAGGCTGACCAGTTTTACAACGCTGCTTAATTAATCTTTTCGAGACGAAAACGCATTTCGGAATTTCGGTTGACATTTCATGAGTTAGCCCACCTACTGTAAGAAGCCTTCCAAAGGGTGTATTTTTTCGCTCCTAATTTTGTTGACACAAATGCCCAGTACCGCTTAAGTACGCAGCCCTAAACACAGTAACAGCACGCAGGCTTTAAAAAGTCATCAATAGTACCTAATTTTGCATAAAATGCAGGCTTATCGACCAATGTTTCACCAGTAGTGTTTTAAGTCGCTGTACGTTTTCGAAAACACTGAAAATATACTCATTAACCTTTTTGCCTTTCAGTCGAATAATTGGCACTTGGAAGTTATCATGCCACTCCGATGTATTCAATATCGGCCAAGGTTTTAGGTATGCCACTTGCGCCAAGCGAAGCATCTATTGTTACCCTTTGGATAATAATAAGCATTATCCTCAACATTTCGGCCCCTATGCTTTTGGACCTCCTCTTGTTCCTGATACTAGGAAATCAACTAAATTGCGAAGGGATTTGCTTCCATAAAGTATGTTACGCTGTAGGGCGCAGTGTCACCCGCTTTGTAAAAGATATAAATGCGTCCGAAAGCCTCTATTTGGTCTACTTTTATGCAGTATGTCCACAGCGATTGGGACGACCGGTTTCATTAATTTGGCGGAGGCAGGGTGTCGCGTTCTGCGATTTGGATGCACATATCCTTGAAGAGCTGTTTGATTACTTCCAGTGAGTCAGTGTCATTTAAAGACGACCGCATGAAAACCATTCGGGTGCGACAGATTCTGAGATTTGCGTCTTGGTCGTTGTAAATTCAGCATTTAGTAGACGGCTAGCATGTGATGCAGGTAGACTTCGAAGGTAGTACGTGCGTTTTTACTACCTCTTTTTACTTAGCTTCTTCCAAAGACAAGGTTGAAATAACTGGACTTTTGTGTCTGTCGCTAACAAAACAGCTGGTATCTCATCTCCCTCGGACAGAGGTTAAAATTAGAAGATTTGCACATTTTCGAATTTGCGAAAAGTTCACTAAGTTGGCTACCTGAAACTGGCATCAGAAGTCCACCAAGAGGTTCTGGAGGTTGCGGCCATGGACTGACAGTTCGGCTGTAGAAAGCAACAACGTCCACCACTGTCACACGCGATGAGCCCAGCAGTGGTGATTTGCACATGAGTCTGTTTACAGTGAAACAGACTTGCATTGTGTCTGGCTCATTCTCTCCCTCCTCGCCCCCAGTGCGTTCCGATCGTGTGAAGACGACCGGTGATGAGAGCAGTTCAATCGTCAGTTTTCGTACTGCGGAAGAGCTTCCTGTCAAGCGAATATATTAGACTAAGGTGTCGTCAGAAGGATCTCTCAAAGCTATTTCTCGACGTCTCCCGTAACCGGTTCTGACTGGTAAAGCCCGCTGTCTTCGGTGCGTCTATGCTTTGTTCAAAGCGTTCGCATTTGGGATTGATCTAAATATTGTCGGATACGATAGCCGACTATGGTAAGACCTCGAGATAAAATTCAAGGGAAAGTCCCCCAGTAGGCCTTCACTACCAGCAATGCCCGCTGGTCGGTTGCTGTGTCACCCAAACGTTACTGGTTGGTGTGGGGCCAAGGGCACAGGCTCAGTCAATCGGCGGGGAGGGGGCGCAAATGCTGGCAAAGACAACAATCATGCGATACGCCATGTCCACTTTTGAGCTGATGGACTAGGAAAGAAGGCACACATGGTAGGCGTTATCGGGTTGCACACGATAACAAACGCCAACATTTCGGGGTGCGGTGGCAGACCCGGTTGCCGGCAGCCGTCGCACACACTGGGACCTTGCCGCCCATTGGTCAAAAGCATGAGCACTTGCTGTGTGGACCAGGGATGTGGAGCACAGCGTCAAGGTGCGGACTCGACCATGCCATCCGCCTGTGCCCTCCCCGCCTCCGGTCTTCTTGACTATGTCTTGACACCGGGTCCAGGCGGGGAGGAGAGTGCGGTAGACGCCGTGCAAGACCGCCATCGCTATAAACTAATTCACACACAAGTCACCGTCCCTGCTACACCTTGCTGTGTAGCACACGCTGGACATCGTCTGCAACGACGGTCGAACCCCCACTGACAATCCGTGCACGAGTGGCATCGGGCGGGGACTGCGAACACTGACAGCGCTTCCAAGGACGTCTGTCACATTGCTTAAACGGCAAGCCGTTGCCCACCTTGAAGACCGGTAGGAAAATCGAGTCGCCCGTACATTTGAAGGGTAACTAGTTCTCGCATTTACGTCCTACCAATGAAAACGATCGGGTGACACTGCCGACCGACATTGGAATATCTTTTGTTGGGTGACAGACACCGCTGTGTGTTGTGTCCTTTAGTTCTGCAACCGTGCATGGACCAATCAAGTGGATGGCGGTCTGTGAGTTGCAACTATACTTGGGTGGCCGAGGGCCTCCAAACTAGACATAAGCTGAAGAGGTCCGAGGCTGCTCTGAGTCGGATCGCAGAGCCCCGAGGTGACGACGCAATCTCGTCGCCGTTCTTGGTAGTTAAGCCGGCCCAAATATTCATACATAAAATTCTCGGTCTGAGCCTATAGACCTTAAGTAAACTGACCTACACCAAGTTCGCAGTTAATTTTCGAGGAAATTAAAAAGCGACAACTCTGTGGTACGTCTACCTCAAGAGCTTAAACGGTGTCGCAGAGAGCCGTTGTCCTCACATTCCCACGAAAACACCAGCCTGTACAGACTTTATGGCAGACAAAAAAGTTCTTTCTGTGTCGATGTCAAGGTTTTGAAGATGGGAGAAGGAATGAAAGTAAAACAATCGGAAAGATACATTAGGCAATGAAAAAGCCGGCAGTTTGTGTGGTAATTTGGAGCGGACTTTTGTGTACAGGAGGCCGGCGTGAAATAGCGCGACCTTATCTACGTAACTTCGGACAGGTGGTTAGTTGCAAGAAGTAGTATTTAGACGCTTTAAAAGAACTTGATCTGGACAAGGGCCTCGGAGGCTCTCAGGTCGTCGTTGTCATCGTCAGCAGTCAGGTTGGAAGATGATTGGCCAACGACGAAGCCCAGCTCTCGCCGACGATTTCTTGATCGCATTGCTTCAACGTCTGCCCACGTCACCTGTAATCGATAATACTCAAAATAAGCTGGCATTACGCGGTGTTTGGTAAAGAGGTACATTGGAGACTGATCCGCGGCCCAAAATTCTTTAAGCTCTCTGGGTAACGGTGGCCAGTCGCCGCGTAGACAATCGTAGAGCATGCGTCAGCTTACTACTGTATAAGGCACGCGTTAATGGACTGTTGAACTCCGTCAGAAACTTGCGTCTAATTTCTCCACCAGATAAGTGATCGGCTCGGGCAGTGAACTGTTGCCTGGGAGTGTAGAAAGCGACGTCGACTCTGGGGACCCCGTCTCCTCGGCACTCCGCGTATACTCCTCACTATAAACAACCTGACGCGCTTCTAAACCATCACGGGGCGCCCAAGTCCGTGGCCTGGAAAGCTTGGTTCACAAGACGAAGGAGCAGGCTGCAGCGGTTGCTTTTTAATATAGTCTCTATGACACTTCCACTTAGTTGGGGTCCGTGCGGCTGCCCTCTTGTTCCCCTGAAAACCTGGTTAAACCTGGCGCGGACCAGGCACGGAGCACGTGCAGATGGGCTGTTTAGCTCTGTTAGCCACTACGCTCGACCCTACCTCCAGTTCTCCTGACTGTCTTGATACGGGGCTTAAGTGGATGGAGGAAAGGGCGGCTGATGCCGCGAAGGCCTAATATCACTACAAACTTATTCACGCACAAGTCGCCGTCTCTGCGCCCATCCGGTTGTGAGGCACATGAACGCCGTGGTTTGCTATGTTATGATCCCCAAAACAGGCCTAAATCAAGTCCGAAAACAGGCTGCGTCGCTACGTCAGGCCTACACGAAGACTAAATGGTTGTTTAGCATACAAGATTGAGGCCCTAAATTACACCAGTCACTGCCTAAATCTGAAATAAGCTTGAGTCGGACTTGCCACTATTATGACAGATAACGAGGACAATCCAGAACGGGACCAGCAATCAGGCCATCCAGACAAACAAGCGCACCCACTGGGGGGCGTGAGTTTAATCACATCAAACTGCTGAGCCACCAAGGGATAACAGTGATACTCTTCGAGTAAGAGTGACGAACTACCCGTACACATTTTTCTGTTTGACATTAATTAAGGAGGACACATCGGGCTTTCCCACTTCAACGATTCAAAGGGGCAGGTCGGAAGGTACTTACCCTCTTTATACCAGGCTGACGTTCGGGGAATTGTTTCTCGCTCTCCTTTAGGTATTCTGACATGCTGAGAAGATCCGAAGAAGCGGAGTGGTGCACGGTACGGCGTTTCAGGCCATCTAGCCGTTCTGCATAGAAGAAAGATACTAAGCTTGAAGGCAATAGGAAATATAACAGTAAAACAACTGAAGCTGAACTGGCACGCACAGGGGCACTACTGATCTGGCAAATCTAGTCCAACTCAAGGCACAAGGACACCGTTTGCGAGAAGAACTGACGAGTTAGAGTAGGTCTTGGTCGTAGTGCATTGTGTCAAATAACCATCAGACAGAATATTTGAGATACCTCGATGGGGCTATAAGTTAAACTCCCAAGACGACCTCATGGTCGAGGACAAAGAGTAGAATGAGGTGGACATACCGATACGTTCGGCACTATCCTCTCTGTCCCACCTGCTCCGAATCATGCCCCAGGCGAGGGCTTCTGAAAGGCTTTCCTCGTCCTCCTCGTCCACAGCTAGCGTCCTTTTTGGCCCTGACGCATTCTGCGCAGAACATGAAGGTTCGCTTGACTCGCCTTCCACGTTGTCGCTATCGGAATCCATTTCCACCTTCAACAGAAGGTCCAGAGGTAAAAAGGCTAAGACAATGGTCAACGTTTAGGTGTGAAGAGACAGCTTTGATTTTGTTTCATCTGTTGACCATGTGCGCTGTGGATGTGCATCCACTGTGTCTAGTCTCTAGTCTTGGCGGAAGGGAGTGAGCATGCACAAAGCAGCAGCTGTCATGGTATTAACTGCCTTGGTCCGCAAACCATACACCCCACTGTTACGATGAACATAGCTGGATATTCCAACGTTAACCAGCAGAAGTCTTCTAGCGAATTTCGAGGCCGCGAATAGGCACTTAAGTCGGTGCCTACGGTAGTCCGACCGTCGTGACAGACGATGTCAACCGTGTGCCCTACCGCAGGGTGAGTGCAGGGACGGTGACTTGGACGTGAATTAGTTTACAGTGGTGGTGGTAGTAGTGGTGGTGGTAGTAGTGGTAGTGACCCTTCGAGACACCCACCGCACTCTCTTCCCCACCCGGACACGGCGTCAGAATCGAAGCAAAACAGGAGGCGGTAGGGGGAGAAGGTGGCTGGCGCGGCAGAAACCCGTGCCTGGGCGTGCCACCGCACGCCCATTGTTGGCACCCGTTGTGGGAGCGCATTCTCAACAAAACCCGCCAGACTCCAATCTATTCCCCGTGGTGGCCCAGCACATGCAAAATAACGATTTATCTTAAGTCGCCCCTATTCCGTCTTGCACCTGGAAAACGAAGAACGTGGGGAGACCGCGGTAGATCTGCATCGTTAGAAACAATATCACGGGGAAGTCAGCATTGCCCGCCCCTGGATAGTAAGGGTTGTTTACGATGGCCACGGAAGGGTCGTGGCGGTTCCCATTGACAATGATAGGGAATGGAAATAAGAAAGCCACATAAGAGGTCGCAAAGTACTCAAGACTCGTAGCACGAAAATTTCTGCTGTTTTCCGAAGACGAAATGGCCTAACATGACAAGTACAGGAGGTCTTACTTTTCTGGTCATCAAAAACGGCGGCTAATATGGTGTTTTAAGGTAGGGTAATTAAAAGGTTGGTGCATCATACAAGACCATTCTAAGATGACATTGTTGAACACAACAGTGCAATAAGGAACACTTTGCCAATTGGTAGGGCTCTGACTTGTTTTATAGAAGCTAGAGCTCAGGTGAGATTTTGATGTCAGTAAAATTAAAGAAGCTTATCTTATGTGATCATCCTGTACAACTGCGAATAGAACAAAAATCTGCCGGTGAAAATGGGATAAAAGTACCTCCTCCGACGAAATCTCCTGTTGTAGGGAATTCGCGTCCACTAAAACGAATCGGCTAGGCGTTGGTTCCCAGTTGGCATGTATCTAAGATTCAAGTAGAAATGGAGGTTGGTTTAGTGGACCTTCAGTTATGGAAACGGTTAGACAGGCGTCGAACACCTTACCTGCAGAATGTCCTCCTTGGATCGTCGTCCCTCGCTGCGACGAATGCAGGTGCTCACGTTGGCAACAACTTCCACGACATAGACCTACAAGAGAAAGGTGAGATCGGTAAAAAATGGACATGCAGCAGGCGGGAGGTGGGCATACAACAGTTCGGACAATGGATACATCGCATCTAGACAGGTGCTTTCCTGCAAAATCAGACAACAAAGAGGCGACAAAGAAGAGAACGGGGATCAGCAGACAGGATAGAGTAGATGCAGAGGGGAGCCTGGCGAGCAAAAACTGACTCAACCGAGACGGTAGAACGTACAATAACCATCATCACCCCCATACCCATCGTCATCATCAACGTCATAGCCACAGCCAACATCACACAACCGTGGTCAGTTACGTCATCATCTTCCTCATCAACACTGCCACAAACATCACCGCCACTGCCAGCAGATGCGTTTCCGTGGGAATTCAAAAAAAAGATTCTCTTCACTCGATCAGAACAATTACAGAACCGCAGCATTGTACTAAGCGAAAAGGATGACCGCTGTCCAATGGAATGCAAATCCCGGCAGAAAGTTTAGGGCAGTTAGTTGCGTTATAGTCTCTACCATAAGAAGGTGTTGGCCTGGTTCGTGTGCTGGAAGTTGCAAGTGGCCCTCTAGTGCAGCGAAAACGAATGAGGAGGATACAGAGGTGAGAGAAGGGGACAGACAGAGATAGAGGAAGGACAAAATAGTCGACGAGATGGGGATCAAACGAAGAGAATGGCGAATAAATTGCATAAAACGGCAAAGACCCCGGCTGATAACGGTGCGCCGAGCGACATATAAAAACTGACAATGCTCCAAATCGACAAACAATCGCAGAATACTTTGAAGTCATCCAAAAGAAATACACAGTGTCGGAGCGAAAGACTTCCCGTTTGCAATTTTTTTCGCGTTTGACAAATCAACATTAACAGAACCACTTCATCTCATCGATACTGAACTTAACGAACCTCTAAGCAGAGATTCAGAGAACTCGGCGTCAGTCGCTATGGGACAAACGAGTCGCCGACAGGTGCCACGAATTTTAAATTGGAAATGCGCATGGACTTAGAGAGTTCAATGTCTACATTCAGCGTCAGTGAAAGCTCACCTGGAAGTTGCGGGCGCGAGCCTGTGCAGCCAGTTCCTCAATTTCCGACACACGCTGATTCACCGCGTCAACAATTAGAAAGTTAAAGAAGCCGTCATCCATTTGGCGGCACACCAATTTGACTAATTCTTTTTGGTACAGGGCCTCCATATCCTTTTCGTAAACGTAAGCGGGTACATCTGAATCGTCCGGCTCTGTCATGAAGAAGTCATCCATTGAAAGAACGCGAGCTGTGGCCTCTTGGGACTCTTCTGCGGTCGCCTGAGTCTCCTTTGACTGACAAAAAGGACCGAAAAGGGCGGGAGTCAGGAATATCTGTGCGGATGGATAAAGTCTAATGAGGCGTGATAAACAAAAAACACACCTTGATGAGGCGGGCCAGTGTTGACTTCCCAGACCCCGGCAGACCCCTGAGGATGAATAGTATTTTTGGCGGTCGCGACTTTCGACCCGGGAGCGCAAGTAGGGTTTCTGAAGCGATGCGTTCGGAGGCGGCAGCAGGAATAAGCGCCTGAGGACGGTTGACGGGTGGGACCGGTTCGACATGTTGTCGGCCCGGAAAGTGAGGCAACCGTGGCGGCGGTGGCGTAGGTGGCGGAAAATGGGAAGGTACTGGCCGGTGATCATAGTCAACCCGCTCAGTTGGCGGAGTGCCACAAGGCATGAATGAGACATCGGTGAGCTTTCCGGGGGGGTAACGCACCGGTGACCGAGACCTGCATCGTGACTAACAGATGAAAGGCTGATAAGGAAAAAAATGCCGAAACATCACAACGGATCCACAAAACAAGGTACTTTGGTACTCCTAAGAATAGCGACATTCAAATTCTCCTGTCTTAATAGCCACCAAGAGGTTGGTGCGAAGTCAAGGTGGCATTGTAGTCGCGACGAAGCCAGAAGTCCGAAAACGTGTATTCGGCAACTATGCGACATGTTATGCACGTCGAACGCAGCATCAAAGTAGGCAACACGAAGCCTGAGAAGTGTCATTTTAGGCGATTGAACGTATGCTACGGTAGTCCGACCTAATACGTATATACCAAACACTGCCACGCCATCATCTAAACCTGGTTCCCTTCGTAACGCATGTGTTATTAGAGGCGCAAACGCAAAAGAAAGGTTGAGCCCAGGAATTAGTTGTGCGGTATGACATGTTTCTAAGACCCTGATGTATAACATAACAACTCAAAACGTAGTTTTAATAAATATGCACGCTTCTTGCAGTTTGCGCCTGTAGTAGTGTCGAGTGAGCGGTATTTTGCAATACTTACATTGTTTTGCGTCAACCGATGTATGTTTGTATGTCAAGAAACCTAGGGAGACGATGCTTAATTTTCACAATTTGTAGCTGTCTGGACGTAATGGTTGAAACACCACCAAACGCATGAATAGAACATACATTTGTTAAGGCAAACTATGTGAAATGGGAAACTTACACAACCAGGAAGCGCTTGCTGCAAAACGGGATCGAGCGATCGATCCCGTTCAGTTATGAGAACTAGGCTTGCTAACCAAGCGAATTAGCCAGTGTCCCACTTCACGACTCCTAAAGTCACTGTCGGCTACTGCACCAAGTGGAAAGCATACACATACGGCTGCATTTCATGGGATACAACAGTTAGCTCAAATGTTCAAAGAAATCCTTCTCTTGCTGCTCATACCAAACTCTGAGCAAACAAGTTTACACTAGAGAATTGTTAAACAGGAGAGGTCAGAGGGAGACCGCGCCAAATCTGCAAAAATGGCACAAGTTAACTATACTTACAATGAGAAGCCAGCAAAGTATTTTAAAACCAATGGTTGCGAAACTTTTGGTTCTGAAGACAATCGTAATCGGAAAATGGTGGTCGGCCTTAACAAAAAACGTAAAAAGTGCTAGCAATGGCATGACTTCGTGACTGCAGATGGCCGTATAAGTGAAATTAGCTTCTACCGAAAACTTATCAGAAGGTAACATCGCGCTGTAGAATAGGCTAAATGGCGAACTCGGTCTTTGGACACAGCCAACAAACTTCTGGCGCAACTCGGCATCTCCACAAGAAATTTATTCGTAGTTGAGAGTGGTTCTTTGTAAAAAAAAAAAAACGAATTATTAGGTAGTGAGTTTGATGAACACCTGCGCATTTGCCCCAATGAGCTCGTAGCGCACTGCTTACTACGAAGTATTAAAAATTAATCGTGCAGGAGTTACGCCCAGATGCCATGGCCTTGTAGAAATGGTTCGATTTAGATTCATACGAAAAGTTTGCCCAAAAACTAAAACATACTTGGGGAACCGCAAACCATTCATCGTTGGGATAAAAATTAGCACTAGATGCGTGCTGAGGCTCTCTAAAATTTTGACTATGACCCCCATTGTCAAAATACTGAGGTCTTCGTGAGGAGTAGCACTCTGGTTCTGGTCGATAACTCAGTTGCGATGGCTGATTATTATTTGGGGTCGAACGAGAGCTAGATCCAGGAACATAAACTTCTGGCGAGGAACGGTGAGGCTGCGGTCGGTCCCATTCAGCTCTGTTCACATGTTGAGGCCAGGAACGAGGAGAATCAGGGTGGCGTTCCCCCTCTGAGGGCAATGGCGGCGATGGGGGTCCGAGCCTAGATCGCAGATCTTCGCGCCACCTGTGGGGAAGAATGAATTAATATCTTAAATGATCTGAAAGTTCTCCATAGCACATAAAACAAACAGCGGGTGGGTCAAAGAGAGCCTGAATTAGTACCATGGTTAACCATCTAAAGGTGAAATCGGAGAATAATGCGACAGATGATTATGGGAAATTTACATGGCAGTGCTGGTGGATCAGGTCTTTTGGAAAATCCGAAAAAAAAACTACTGACAGGCTTCTTAGGTCGCTTTTTGCATTCTGTGGACCAGATTTCAAATTTGTCAGCTAGGACCAAAAACAGACTACGATGACAGAAAAGTCCCATGAACCAGCAATGGCAGCCTCTGTAAGTAAAAAAATTACACATTTACCGCAGAGGCGCATAGAAGCCCCATAATAACTTAATTATCAAACAGGTCCCAAAAAACGTGGAAAATCGGGTATTTCTGGAACTACAATAGCAGCAAAACGCCAAAAGTTCTAGGTGAAGAGTAATTTACAAGAGGCTAGTTTAGGAAAAGTAGGTGTAATAGGGCACTTTAATTTCGTTTGTGAACTGTATCAATGAGATAGGCAAAACTAATCAGAGGTGGTTCATGTTTGGGCAGTATTTAGTAAGTCAGGTAATTTGTCCCTGGTACCCTGAAATACGACCAAAGGACCGACTCCACAACTGATTTCTAATCAGTTGAATTGTAATTAGTCTGCTTTCGATGACTTCAAGTCGAGGGGGCGGCAGTGAACTGCAACGACATGACAAAGCGCTTCAAAATACTAATAAATTGGAGGGACAAGCAACTACATTCACGTTCGCTAAGACCGCAGATGCTAGAAATACCACTGCAGTTAAAAAGGTACAACTGACTTACTCATCGTGTTGCTGTGAATAGTATGTACCTTGAGGATTATGCGGATAACTAGGGTAGCAATTCGCCTCAAACACTTTAGATTCATCCCCCCAGAGTTCATTTCTGCGTTCAGGTATCGGAAAACGATAGTCTGGATGATTTTTCGGGTGTGTGGGGTAGTTTTGCTCCCATTCAGTGCCTAGAAATGGACGATCGTGTCGTTCATTATATCCTACAGGTGGCAGAGGTTCCGCTCGGCCAAGGGGTGCTCGATATGGAGAAGCTTCTCTTGTGTCGAAGGCGGGCATGCGTTGTCGCGGATAACAACTAGATGGCCCGTGGAAGGCTCGATAAGGCCGGAAATTGGGTGGGCGGGGACCATACATGTCAAATCGTGGATTGTAATCGTCGTTATGATGCATTCTCACATGCGACCTGAAATAAGAGTTTGGATTAGGTGTGGCAGGAAGGATTAATTTGTTTATGAAAGCAACAATCAACCTCCTTTACTATGATAAGTCGATGAAAACCATGACAGTTGTAGTTTTAAACCTTCCCTACATTTCAAAGCTGTAGGCGAAGCTGTAACAGTATTATTATGTTTTAAGGGGAAGTAAAATGCATGCAAAAACAATGGGAAATAGCAGTCGCACCCGAAGCATTCCACCATCAAAGGCCACAACAAGGTGCGACGGGATTAAAAATCACTCCTACCCAGCGCAAAAGCTCACCCTATATGCATATAACGGATCGCCATCGGAGTTAGCTGTAAAGACCGCCCACCAAGCTATCCGGAATACCCCCCATTTATATGGTAAACAAGGTGACGTCGAGAACGGTGGTTAAGTGTAGCCTTCAAGGCGAAGCAGAAGAATTAACAAGTCATCCAAAAAATGATGCAAATACAGCTAACTGCTTACAGGGAGGGCCTGCTCATATAACTCCCACGAAAATATGGAAGAATACTTTTCTGTCACGTCTGCAGCGTCACTTGGTGACTTACTGTAACTTAAGTGGATGCATTTCTCATTTTTATCCTCGCACCGGACGTAGATCCAATGGGCTAGCGCTTTACGGATAGATGGGACTCGGTGATCAAGTAAATATCCCCGTGAAATCACCGAAAAATACAGTGGTGTCTTACGGCAGAGTCTAACCATTGTTGTTAAAACAGAAAAGCAATGGCCTAGCTAGTTATTGGCGAATATGACCTAAAACTGCCCTGAATGGGCTCCACACTGAACTGAAGTCCAGTAGGTGAGAAAGGTGATTTTAGGATTGGGGTGGTCGTAGAGACTCGGATTGGTGTCGGGGAAACAAAACCTCCACCCAACGACTACTTCCGCACGTCTAAAATACGTCGCCTAAACATTCCACTGCTTTTTCCACAATGACCTGTACGTACAGCGCCGACTAATGCTAAGCAAAGATCCGTGCATGCGATTAGGAAGTGCGATGGGCAAAACGAGCACATAGATGAGGCAATGTGGACAGTGAATAGATAAGAAGTAAAAGAAGGCGGACTGGGCGACGAAGAAACGGCAAGTTAAACGCACAACTACGGATGAGTTGCAGCAGAAGAAAGACGGAAAAAAGACATGCGTAAAGTTAAATTACTTCGGCCCATAAACTATCGCAGGTGTTGTGATGCCGAGTAGAAGTCCTGACGCCAAGGATATCGAGATTAGGCCTTTTAAGGTGGTTCGTAGCTGATGAATGGCGCAGTAAGTCTATGAGTCAATCGGTTAGGCAACTAACTCTTGCAATAATTTTAGTGCTGCGGACCAGTTATGAAGACCGGGTTGATGATCACTGATACAGATGTGATCGAACAGGTTATGTGAGGTGTATACTTTGCCAGGTCAGATCTTATAAGTGGGGAGAACTTAGCAAGCTTCCTGGCAGACAAAGGGTAGTGCGCGAAAAGCGATCGGTTCAAGGTGGTACAAATTTCAACGTCCACAGCAGGGACAGCCCGCAGGATGATTGAATCCGCGGACTGTATGGTTTCAGACTAAGGCCGACTGTGATAGTTCATTGTGAGTGGGAGTTAGGGGAGCCCATTGTAGGACCACATTCATTAACATTTGCACTTACTCTTAACGGGCCTGGGAAAATTAACTAGATCACCGGTTTGACCAAAAATTGCAACCACTAAAACAGAGACAAGGCGTGACTCCAGAGTTTCCCAAGCCAGCTGGGACCAGCATGAAATCCTGAAATTATTTCGCGGAATTGCCTCGTAAGTAGTTTGAAATACATAAGATCACAAGAAAAGGCCGCTGGTGGGACTAGTGCACATTTGAGTTGTCAACGCCGCTTACTTGTGTCGGAGTAGTTCTTAACAAGGACGCCAAAATCCTAAATGTCATCAACATCATCCCGGCCTATTTTCTACCACCCTGATTAAAACAGACACTGGCGCGTAGCTGCGCAGCCATAGCTTCGTTTTTATGTCACCGGACCTTTGTGCTTTACAGCGCAATTGAGACAGATGTACTTTGGACAGAGGACGATCGCAAAACGGTCTTCATGATTCAAAATATCCGTCGCAACCTGGCCAAGCCCTACCTCGTTAAAAGAGAACATTGAAGTGAGGCAAAATAAGAACTAAGACAAATATATTGCCCCGGACACTAACAGTTGTCGAACCATAACATCCACCCCGTGCAATCTTTATCGAAACGGCCCCGGGGTCCGGCTGTCACCCTCTGATATGAATTTGGATCTACTGAACGGAAACCAGCAGATTTATGTGAATTAAGCAAGGAAGATTATTGTGTTGTCAAAAGAGTTTGTTGGTCGATGTAAACACCACCCCCTAGGGGCTTCAGAGCACGTCAAGAATAAAAATAAGCGGAGTAAGAGAATACGTCTGAGACAGAAATTTTTGCGTGTACAATGTTACATAACAGTCTTGTCAGGGCTGAAACCAGCGCCGCAACAAAGGAAAATGCCCTACACTTCGAAACAAGCGCTAGGAACCCGGAAGCTGATAAGGTACAAATCGCGCAAGTTACGGAAGATATAGATGTTCACGTGTTACAAGTCGATAACGAATAAAAATTTGTGATTTTTTAAGGAATCATTGGCTCCTGAATATCTTTTTAATTCGTTCGAAAGGTCTGCACGAACATTTAAAGAGAGGTTGGGTATTTAGGTCCGCAGGCGAAATCTGGATAGTCTACACGAAAATTTGGCACTAAGCGGATGGACAAACCACAACAAAATGCCGTAATAGAAGAGAGCTGCCAGCTGCAAGATAGAAAAGGCAGTAAATAGGACTGTAAGAAACAGACAAAAAGGAAGTTCAAAATGTGGTTACTTCTCTCCGTTATTTCGTCACTCTTTAGACAAAATTCAGTTCACAATCTGTCTAGCGTTCAGTGTATTTGAGAGCAGTAAGCCTGCGCCCTTGAAATTCGCCTGGTGCAAAAATCGAGGGGCTTGTTTACAAATGCCCAAAACCTCGTATCGAAACTAGACGAGCTAAAACTCTGCATTACCGAGCTGCCTCCGGATGCCCTAGCAGTACCCGAATCCTGGCCGCCGGGGAATATTGCGATAGAGAAGAAGCCTTTCTTGATACTAAATCTATTGGAGGGACAGGACGCATCATCACGTCGGTGGCATAGCAGTTTATGTGAAGGAAGACCTGTCAGTGTCTGAACATACCACCAAGATTACATGCAGCAGGGAAGCTATTTGGTTAACCTTTAAGGACAACGCTTCCCCGTATCTCGATGTCGTTACTGTCTACCGACCACCCAGGGCAGACCACATCGCCGACACTCAACTATTGGGGCAGTTGGAGAAAGTTCTCAGTCGACCTAACATCATAATTTTGACCGATTTAAGCGCACCAGGAACAAACTGAAACACCCTCCAAAAATCGACGTTGCATTTCCGTCTGCTGAACAAAATAGTAAAGGCATCCCTTACACAATATGTAATGTTTCCAACGTGAACACGTGAAGGATAAGGGACAAACTGCCTGGATCTGGTTTTTACGAAGGCACCAGAGAGCGTAGGCGAGGTCATTTTCATGCCGTCCCTAGGCCGAGGTGACCATGTAGTGCTTATACAGAATTATTCGCAATTTTCCATTTCGCATACTCCAGATTAAAATAGACGCAACATTTGACGGGGCAACTTTAATCAGATGAGGACAGACTTTTCCCGTGTTGACTGGAGCTCATTGTTTGCGGGTTATGCCAACGATGACTGGGAGTTGTTCAGGAATGTTCTTCTGCAGCTCATCAACAACCACTGCTCATTGACTAGTGCAAGTCTGAAAAAACGCCCTGGGTGGCTAAATAGCAACCTAAAGAAAGAATCAACAGGAAGCACAAATTGGGGAGAAAATCCTGCGTCACCAGGCAAGTTGAATACTTCAACACCTACAGGGCACAGCGGCACAACCTGAGAAAATGATTATAAAAACGTGGCGGGAATTCGGGAAGAACTTGCCACAAAAAGCCACGCAGATCCTAAAGTCATTCTGCCGCTACATCCGACGATGTACAAGGAACAGTCATAAAATCCCTTTAATAAGGACTACTGATGACGTTGAGATTGCTGATATTAGGGATAAAGCTGCGTATTTTTCACAGTTTGTCCAGTCAGTCTACACAAACGAGACAAGGTTCCTTCCTCCATCCACAGAAGAAGTGCCGATCACAAGCATCAGTGATATGCTCTTCTCATAAGACATTGTTCGAACATAATTAGGGGCACTGAACAAATCGAAGTCAGCAGGACCGGACGAGACTTCATCCAAGCTTCTGGAAGAACTTGTCAGTGAGCTTTCTGTGCCTTTGTCGATGCTCTTTCAAACTTCAAATGATACAAGAACACTTCCTATCGATTGGAAGCTGATGCATATTTCTCCGCAATACAAAGGAGGTGGTAGGGCATTGACGACAAATTGCAGGCCCACAAGCTTGACATATATTCTCTGCAAAGGATCATAAACAGTAAACTAATGCAATTCCTGGAAGTTTGCGGCCTGCTTTCGAAATTTCAACATGGGTTCCGACAAACCTGCTGCAAACTTTCCGGAGCTGGGCCTGAGTCCTCGGCGACAAGCACGCGGTCCACATAGTTTTTATCGACTTGCAGAAGGCATTTGACACTGTGCCAAACCAGAGGCTCTTACATAAACGAAAAATTGGGATCGGTGGTAATTTCCTTAAATGGATCGAAAACTTCCTTGTGGGTCAAGGGAAAACAGATTCTGTTAAGGTTTAGAGTGGTGTACCCCAGAGTTCAGTACTGGGACCTATTCTGTTCCTTATATAGAAGTGGA